CATATCTCCTATTCTATTCTATTCTATTCTGTTCTGTTCTGTTCCATTCCATATCTCCTATTCTATTCTATTCTATTCTATTCTATTCTATTCTATTCTATTCTATTCCATTCCATTCCATTCCATTCCATTCCATTCCAAGAATTGGCTGTCCTACATTCAGTAAGCTTTTCTTCTTGTAAATCTACCTTTGATCAATAAGTTTTATTGGCATTCAATTCACTGTCAGGCGACCCACAAATGACAGCAGAGCCTCGCAAAGAGGAAAGTTTAAGAGAGTACAATATGAGTTTATTATACGAATTAATATTAAACATCTTTTAAGAAAAAAGTATGTATGGAAATAAATTCTAAAAGACCAACATTCACAAACATCACAAACTGTCTCTCATGTGTTTTATTCCTGCCCCCCCCTTCAGTAGTCTCTTCTCCTTTTGAAGAGAGAAAGCAATACAGACATTACTGTCATGGATTGTACATTGTTTTGATGGGGTTTGGGGGGGAACCCTTAGCTTTTGGGTGTTGATCTTTCTAGCCCTGAAAACCCATTTACAGGGGAGACGGTGGGGGAGAATATGAGAAACTGAACAAAAAAGCACTTACTGTACCATCTTAACAAAATTATTCCATGGATATCATTAATGGAAATTTCCAAAGCCTCAGAGCCAAACTGTTCTTTTCCGAACCACTTCCAAAACTGAGCAAGAACTCCTGGCATGAAACTTACTGAGAATCTGTACACGGAGACAATAATCTTTTTTTTTTTTTTACAAAAGGTATTTTGTAAAAAAAAGTTTTCCAAACTTTGCTTATATGCAACGCAACAGCAGTGCAAGCAGTTTTGGTAAAGCTTAAAAGAGCATCCATGTTTCTAGTGCGGGGAAGGCTGGCATAGCAAAAAAAAATTAAAAAAATTATGGGTTAATTTTGGGGAAACTGGAGCGAGAAATGGCGGCTACCTTCCGTTCTGGAATTTCTGTGAAATGCTTCCACAACAGAATCTAATTCTGGCCATTTGGTTCTTCCCAACTGTCAGGAAAAGGCCCAGGATCTCAATAAAAATGGAAAATTGGTTACCCAGTCTTTTCAGTTAAGGAACAGTGGAGAAGAGGTGGTGTGAACACAAGAGCTTTCGAGTTTTATGGATGTTTTTCTTTCCAGCTTTGGCCAAACATCTAGCTTGCTCTGAGGGCAAAGATTAAGTACCCTAACCTAGGAACCTGGATTGGCATGGTATTAATAATCAACTGCCTGCCCAGGTATGGTGTTCAGCTGCCTTTCCTGTTCACAATTTATTTTGCAAGCAAGGTTGTTTTCTCCAACCTTCGTAACAGCCTGGAAGCTAGGATGGAACCCCAGAGTAAAAAACTCCCTTTTTCCCAAGATGCATTGATGTTTTTCAATAATAATAATAAAAATAAAAATCCTGGCTTGGAAAGCATAAAAAGAATCATTCAGGATTTCCCAGCACCAGCAAGGCTTAAGCCTCAGAGAACTCTCCAAGTCTTTTAGAGCAACATGGATATATATATAGTCTTGGCCTGATTTTTTGTAAGCCTCTTAGTTGAGAAAAAATCCCAATAATAGGCCAAACAGAAGACCGTATGCATTGTTCCATTCTCTTCCAAACTGTGAGGCAAGAATTGGCTTCCAATTAAATTTTGTCGGGTACAGATAGCAAAGCTAAATCTTGCATCTATAAAACTCCAGTGAAGCTGACAGAAAAGAAAGCCATCCTAAGAGACCAAGAAATTTGCCAGCTCGTTTCCTTGCATCTCATTCTCCCCGAGTGAAAAACAATCACAGTAAAATTGAGTAAAATTTTACAACGTTTCGCATCTATTGCTGAGCATTTTGGTTTAACCAAGTGCATTAGTAACAGAGAGGGGTATACAAGTAACTCTTTGCATGCTCAGGAACTCACTGCTACAGGTCCAGCTATAGCAGAGGCCCCAATTGAACCCATATTTTTTAAAATGCCAGGGAACCTGGGCAGAGAAGTCCTAAAAAGTACAGGTAGTCCTTGACTTACAACCATTTATTTAGCAACTGTTCAAAGTTACAATGGCAGTGAAAAAAGTTGACTTGCAACCAGTCTTCATAGTTATGACTCCACAGCATTCCCCCATGGTCACATGATCAAAATTCAGGTGCTTGGGGTCATGTGATCACCTTTTGAGAACTGCCCAGCTGGTTTCTAAAAAGCTTTGCTTAACAGCTGTGGCAAAAGAGGTTGTAAAATCAGGGACAACCCACTTAACAATCACCTTGCTTAGCAACTGAAATTCTGGTCCCAATTGTGGTCATAAGTCAAGGACTACCTGAATCTGCATTTGCACACAATTTTTCCCTTTATAGCAGCAGGATTCTCCTTGTTATTGGATTTCACTTCAAGAGATATACCCCAAATGAACGAACATATACAGTATATATAATCCTTTTGCTCTTACTCAAACCTCTGCATTAGACACATGATCAAAACAGACTAACATCTGGAAACAGGCAGCTTTGCTACCATTGTCTGTCATCGCTAGGGATGGAAACAGCAAAACAGCTTTCAATCGCTCCAGGGATTACCAATTCTCTCCTAAAATATGCTAATGGCATGATTCACCTAGCAAATGCACGACTGGTTTTGACTCAATAGCTTGCACAAATCCAGTTACTCTCGGTTATACTTCATGGTTTATAGTTTATTCAGTACAGCAAAACTAGGCAAGCTCAAGGTGAGCAACCCAAAGGTGCTTTTTTCAAGAAGCAACTGGACTTTCTGGTTTTTCTTTGAAGATGTTTCGCTTCTCATCCAAGAAGCTTCTTCAGCTCTGACTGGAATCCTTCCATTCCCCACCATCCAGTCAGAGCTGAAGAAGCTTCTTGGATGAGAAGCAAAACCTCTTCAAAGAAAAACCAGAAAGTCCAGTTGCCTCTTGAAAAAAAGCACCTTTGAGACAACCATGAATATTTCTGAACCTCAGCAACCTTGAAGATATGTGGACTTCAGCTCCCAGAATTCCCCAGTCAGTTATGTTATGCTGGCTGAGGAATTCTGGGAGTTGAAGTCCACATACCAACTTGCTGAGTTTGAGAAATATGGCTTGGCATAAATGCATGAGCCCAGGAATTGGTGACTGTTTTCAAGGCTTCCACTACAGGTCCTACCATTAGTATTAACTCCACCCTTCAGCGGCAATCAATTAAGAAGCTGCCTACATTTAACAGGCCAATGTGCATCCTTGTGCTTTTATCTATGTAGTTATAAAAAATTCTAAAGAGAAATTGTCACTTTTAAAAAAAGGTATTCCCTTATTTCACAAACATAGATGGGCACCTAGTTGCCAGTCTTAATTATGGTTGTTAAATGTGGACTACTGTAGTCCGATCTTAGCTTAGCCCCAATTTTGTAAATCAGGGATGTCAACCTCGCAATGACACATTATTGTCACGTGACGTATCATAACTTTTTTCCCCTTCGCTAAACCAGGGGTGTGTGGGGCCAGCGCATGACACATCTAGCCTGCGGGCTACAAGTTTGACACCCCTGCACAGGTGGGACAAGACTAAGGGCATATGTCATGAGGACTATAAGAGACACTGAATTCACAGAAACGGGAAAAGGACGCTATATCGAATGTAAGTTTTCACACCCATTCGTATTTTTCAATCTGGTTCTCTTTCCCAGCAATGCAAGGAATACAAAGTTATCAGAGAGGTTGCACGGAAGCAAGATGGGAGGGGATTCAAGTTGGGCTGAGAGACAATAGGAACAATGACAGCAGAAATGTCCCAGGAGGTCAAAAAAGTCAATATGGCATCCATCAACATGACATCAGAATCCAACTTCTTTTACATGTAAAAAAGTGGGAACCTGTCAGCACCCAGAAGGAATTTTGTAAATGAAAAATGCTGGATAAACATAAATGGTTAACCTTCCAAGATGTACTAGAATTTTCTTATGAGAATTGAAATCAAGAGATTTAATAAGAGAAGGGTATGCTTCCCAATGGTTTTCTTATATACAATTAACAGAAAGGTTTAACGTGGATGAACGATTTTATGATTTTGAACAAAGCAAGACTGAATTTGAATTAGAATTATATACCAGTGACGAATATGCTATTGCCAAAATTATAAACTTTTGCTGAAATATGAGAACAACTGAAAGATGGTATGAAAAATTAGGCTAGGAAACTGGCTATAATGTACAAATGGACCAAAAGGAAAACATGCAGTTGAAAGAATTCACATTTACATAATGTTCTCTAACCTTAAAGAGAATTTTTATGAAATGATGTATCTCTGGTTTTTTTGTCACTAGAGAAACTGTCTAGAATGTATAATGGTAGTTTGAATCTTTGCTGGAAACGTGAACAAGAAGGGACTTTTTATCATGTTTGATGGACTTGTAAAAAAGCCAAAACATATTGGATACAAATACATGCATTAATTCAGAAGATCTTGAAGTATAGCTGAACCCAAGATGCTTTTCTTTTGGTCTAATGGACAAACAACCAGAACAAAAGTTCCAGAACTTTAGTTTTATTTATGACAATTGCAGCAAGATTATTCTATGCTCGAAAATGAAAAGACTCAGCACTATGGTACCTACAACAAGGGAATGAATTGGTGAAGACGACAGGACTTGCGGGGATGGTTAATTTAACCTCTTTGATTAGGGAAAAAACAATGTCAACATTTATGAACAACTGGAAACCCTTATAGATTTTTTTGCATGAAACAGAAAAAAAATGCATTTATGATTTGTGCTAATGATGATTAGGAAAAAATACTAAAAGAATACTAAAGAATACTAAAAAGTGAGGGTCTTTTTTTAATCATGGAGTAATTTTGTAACTATATTTATATTTGCTGCAAAGGAATGCAAAGAAATCAGAACTTTCTCTTTCTTCTGCTCTTTTATTAGTTTGTGTTAGACTGACTGTGTTTTGTAAAACTTGATTAAAGAAAATATTTTGAAAAAGTTGAGTTTTTCTCTCGTTTGAAGATGTGTTCTTGACTTTTTTGACCCCCCCCCCCACAGACACCCCCTGAATAAGGGGAAATATATTTATCATGAATAGTTTCTGATTGTGGAAGGGACCTGCAGGAACACTTTTTCATGGAGGGGAAAAAATTATATTATTCTAACTATCACACTCAAATAGCATGATTCAGGTTTCTTTTCTATTAGCAGCAATAATTATATAATTATAGTAAAAATCATCATCCACAATACAGCAAAATCTGGTGGGCCACCCTCTATCTGGATGAAAGGACACAAGTATCCATTCGTTCAAAAGTCATGATGCAAAAACACCGACCAGAAACCACTTTGGAACAATGGGTGGGGCTTTTTTTTTCATACATTCTGAACCACATTTGATAACAGATTATCATTATCCAGCTTCAAAGATTGGTGTATAAAAGATTAGGTGAATTGTCAGTTTTCTCTCTCCCCCCCCTTTTTTTTTTGGTGGTGGTGGGGGAGCTGGATTCCTCAGAGTTGAAAAAAAAAACGTAAGAGTAAGACCCAAATTCTTAGTCACTGGATAAAAAAAAAATCATAACGTGCCTTCATGTTCCCATGCGGTTGAATTCGGAGAAGCCTTGGATCGTTCCAGAATAGAGTCACCAGCGTAAAAATTATCTTCCCTTTTAACCATCATGGTTTCTCATCTTATTTGGCTTCTCCCCCCTCCCCCCAGTTGCCAATTCTGGATCTAGAAAAGAAAAAGAGAGAAAAATGGGAACATTAACAAAAGCTTCAGTGCTTTATAACAGGGGTCTCCAACCTTGGCAACTTTAAGACTCGTGGACTTCAACTCCCAGAATTCCACAGCTAGCTGGCTGAGGAATTCTGGGAGTTGAAGTCCACAAGTCTTGAAGTTGCCAAGATTGGAGACCCCTGCTTTATAATACAGGTAGTTCTCAACTTACTATGACAATCGAGCCCAAAAGTTCAGTTGCTAAGCGAGACAGTTCTTAAGTGAGTTTTGCCCCATTTTACAACCTTTCTTGCCACAACTGTTAAGTGGATCACTTGCAGTTGTTAAGTTAGAAACATGGCCGTTAAGTGAATTGACTTGGCTTGCCAGAAGATGGAAAAAGGAAATCACATAATCCCCCAGACACTGCAATCGTCATAAATATGAGACAGTTGCCAAGCGTCTGAATTTTGATCATGCGACTAAAAGAATACTGCAACAATTGTAATCATAAAAACAGTCATAAGTCACTTTTATAAGTAGCTTCAAACAGTCACTCAACGAACTGTTGTAAGTTGAGGACTACCTGAATTTTGGAGGAAGGGTATCCTTCTTAGCTCTGAGCAAAGAAGAACTGGAGGAAGATAAAATCCCCTTCGAATATCTCCAAGCTGTTTTCTTTGTAACAGTACAAAATGGTTTGACAACTGGTTCCTATTTAGCTGCTTTTTTAAAAAAAACGTCCTGTCATGCCCTTGTCAGAGTCACGCTCTGAGGGAGAGGAGGAACAGCAGACAGGGAGTGGAGGTGTGGCTCCAGAGGTTGTGGAGGAGGCTGGGAAGGGCAGAGGCCAGCTGGGAAGTCAGAGGAAGAACCAGGCCTATCCCCTCTTCATCTTAGGACACGCAGGGAGGAAAGGAGAAGGCAACAACTTGGCTTACGAGAGAGGAAGCGGTCATGATCCCCATCATTGGTTGCAGCTGGGGAGAATAGTATACAAGAGAGATGGTTAAAACACAGCATTGCCAGAAGCAAAGTGTGTGTTATTTTGGGCTGAAGTTATCTTGGTTGGTGTCCTTCCAACAGCCTGTGCCTTGTTATCTCCTTGAAGTTGGTAATTACTTATCCTGGTCTGTTGTGGAATTTCCTTCATTGCAGTTTGTTTTAGGTTTTTATTTCACCTCTATCTGCTCGTTAAGTTCGGACTGTATTGCTTTCTTTTGAAGACTATTTTTGAATATGCTTTATCTCCAGCTGAGAATTATTGAACAGTGGGGCCAAGTTGGAGGCATTAAAGGACATTTATTTACGTTTTGGATTTTGTTACGTTTGTGTTATACTCCAGGTCATCACATGTCCATTCTTGGATTTCCTCATGGTCTCCTATTTAAGGATCAGTCAGTTATACCTCTGCATATCTTCTGAAGATCAGTCGAGATCAGAGACTTGCTATCATCTAGTTGGAACTGAGCAAAATATGTTTAAAAAAATTCTTTGGGCCAGAGGTTAGATTCCACTCTTGCTGTTACCACTGCTTTTTGATCTTGCTTCTTCCAACATGGGCATAACAGCATTTTTTTAAAAAAAGCAGCACAATTCCACATATTTTCACACTGGGCAGCAACATGGACTGGATTAAGTCAGGTAGCATAAGACCAGAAAAACCAGAGGCCAATTAATCAGAATAGAGCTGGAAGGGAACTTGAAGGTCTTCTAGTCCAACCCCCTGCTCAAGCAGGAGATCCCTAACCATTTCAGACAAGTGACTGTCCAGTCTCTTCTTAAAAGCCTCCAGTGATGAAGCACCCACAACTTCTGGTGGCGAGCTGTTCCACTGGTTAATTGTTCTCACTGTCAGGAAATTTCTCCTTAGTTCTACATTGCTTCTCTCCTTGATTGCTTCTTGTCCTGCCCTCTGGTGCTTTGGAAAATAAGTTGATCTCCTGGTCTTTGTGGCAGCTCCTCAAACACTGGAATACTGCTAGCATGTCCCCCCTATTCCTTCTTTTCTTTAGACTGGCCATACCAAAATCCTGCAACCCGTTCTTCATATGTTTTAGTCTTCAGGCCTTTAATTATCTTAGTTGCTCTTCTTTGCACTTTTTCTCAACATCTTTTTTGTAATATGGTGACCAAAACTGGATGCAGTATTCCAGGTATGACCTTACTAAGGATTTATAAAGCAGTACTAATACTTCACGTGATTTTGATTCTAGTCTCTGTTTATGCAACCAAGGATTGTATAAATATAAATTCAGGGCAAAAGGTTGCTTAAGATCATTGTTTTCAAAGTCTTCTCCATTCCCACTAACTACTGGTAGCTAGCGACCGCACCTATTTCTATTTATTATAGCTGTCCTGTTTTAATTTTAAATTACAAGAATATATTATTAAACATAAGGATATATTTGAATGCTGTTTGGTCTTTGCAAACAATAATAGCCTTGAATATTTCTGTTCATAGTACCTAGCAAATGAACTGATGATTGTTGGAACAAAAATGAGCATACCTTATTGTACTTCTTTTGATGGTTCTTCTGCTGCAGGTAACTTTCTTCTTATTTGGCAGTCCTCATCTGAAACACAGAGGTAGAAGATGGTTGAAGCATGCAGATCTGCAATGGCCCAACTTTGCAACTAGACTAAAGTCGGTGTCAATTCAAAGGCAGGAAAAGGCAGCATCAGAGACAGGCTGTTCTTGTAGCCAATTATAAAGATGATTGAAGAGCCGTGATGGTGCAGTGGTTAGAATGCAGTATTGCAGGCATACTCTACCCACAGCCAGGAGTTTGATCCTGACAGGTTCAAGGCTGATTCTTTCCGAGATTGGTAAAATAAAGACCCAGATTGTCGAGGAGTGATATACTGATTCTGCAAATGACTTAGAGAGGGCTATAAAGCACTGTGTAGCAGTAGATAAGTCTAAGTGCTATTGCTATTTCTAGCAACTTTCTTATTTACCCCAGATTCCATATCAAGGTTTCTCATTCTCCTTCAATAAAATCATTAGCTCCCAACATCATTACTACCAATGCTCCTGATTACAGCTGGCAGCCTTACATCACCCTAGATGTCCCAAAAGGTGCTTTTTTCAAGAGGCAATTGAACTTTCTGGTTTTTCTTTGAAGACGTTTCTCTTCTCATCCAAGAAGCTTCTCCAGCTCTGACTGGAATCTTTCCATTCCTCACGAGCTGAGGAAGCTCCTTGGATGAGAAGGGAAACGTCTTTAGAGAAAAACCAGAAAGTCCAGTTGCCTCTTGAAAAAAGCACCTTTGCGATAACCATGACCTGGATGAGGGAGAATCTCCACAGGCAATCCCCTTAGTTGTGTCCATTTCTACAATACAGGTAGTCCTCGACTTACAACCATTTGTTTAGTGCCCGTTCAAAGTTACAAAAGCACTGAATAAAGTGACCCATGACTATTTTTCACACTTAAGACAGTTGCAGCATCTAAATGGTCAAAATTCTGGCATTTAGCAACTGGCTCATGTTTATGACGGTCGCAGTGTCCTGGGATCATGTGATCCCCTTTTGCAACCTTCTGACCAGCAAAGTCAATGGGGAAACCAGGCTCACTTAACAACCATGTTACTAATTTAACAGCTGGAGTCATTCACTTAACAAATGTGGCAAGAAAAGTCATAAAATGAGGCAAAACTCGCTTAACAAATACTTCACTTAAGTCACATAAATGCTGGGCTTAATTGTGGTCATAAGTTAAGACCACCTTACATACACATTCCTCTTGGAACAGGAATTTATATTTTGTAAACCCACAGCAAGTTGGATGATATAATTTCAGGATCCCAAAATTCAGGGTGCAATTAAGGAACTGGGCCAATTGAACTCCCTGATGTGCATACTAAGGTCCGGATCTTACCACATGAATGTCCTTCAATGTCATCAAGAAGGTTTGCTGTTGAGGCTGCAGTCCCCATCCTGGATTGGTGTTAAGGAGACCATAATCCACACCATACATCAGATGGAAATCTTAAAACTCCCAACCAATGAGAGCAACACTGTTTAAAAACTGTCCTAGTTTGGAAGATGATCTAAACCTGGCTGAGGTTTGAGAATGGCCTCCACATCCATTTCCTGGAAGTCCACACTCAAGGTGGGTGATAAGATAACAAGATAAGATAACCTTTACTGTCATGCACAACAATGCTCATTAAAATGAAATTCCCATGTCTGGTTCATCCTCCGAATAATGTCACCATCCCAAAGAGAACAATAATAATACAATAACAACAGCAACAAACAAAATACCAAGTAATACAAAAACAACATTCAAAAATCATCTTGAATATATATATAGTGGGGGGAAAAGAGTCTTGAGAGTTAACAAGGTTGATGCTATAATGGAACAAAGCTAAATCTGATTGTTCTGCTTTTGTGGTTAACTAGCCAAGAAAGAGAGGTCCTATTTTTAATCCCCGGTCCCATCTGGAGCAGGAAGAGAGCCAAGAAAATCACCCAAACTGCTGAATGCCACCAGAACACAATAAGTAGCCAGGCTGATGGGGAAAGGCAAAGAATCCTGCATTCAAATTCCTGTTCCTAATTTGTTTGACTTCATTTCCCAGAATGCTCAGCAATGGCCAGGATGACAAGGGAATACGTGAGGAAGCCCACACTAGAATAAACCTCTCTTTGCACTTGGATTATAGTCTCTTTACACTCCAAGGCCTGGAGTGATGTTCTCATTCATTAAAAGATAACAGCAGGGAGAGGGGGGACCCCAGAGATGGTATTCAGCAGGTTCTGACAGGTTCTGGAGAACCGGTAGCGGAAATTTTGAGTAGTTCGGAGAACCAGCAAATACCACCTCTGACTGGCCCCGCCCCCATCTCTTCTCTGCCTCCCGAGTTCCAGCTGATTGGCTGGGTCTTCTTTGGTTGCCCTGCACAGGAGAACGGAGCTGGAAAACAGGTTAGTGGGGTGGGGAGGGAATGGAGATTTTACAGTATCCTTCCCCTGCCACACCCACCAAGCCAAACTATGCCCACCAAGCCACGCGCACAGAACCGGTAGTAAAAAAAATTTGAATACCACGACTGGGGGACCCTCAAGATCACCAGGTTGGGAGACCAACAGGAGGTCACTTCATACAACCAGGAAAGGATACACTTGGTGCTTCAAAAGCTGTTTTCTTTTTGACTTCCTCATTTTAGTCTTTTCTGAGAAAGCTCTGGCAAGTTCAAACAACTTCTTGCGTGTAGCTGAAAAGAAAAACAGTGGCACTTTTAACGGATGGGGAGGGGGGAATGGGGGGGAGAGGAACAGTTATCTCCAAGCATTTTTATACTCAAGTATGGACTTCATGCTGCCAAAGTGAGAGGTTTAAGGACTAGTAACTTGATTAAGACGAAAACTGCAACTCCTTCAAGATCCTGAATTTTGCAGCTGTAGTACATTTAGGAACTGAATTAACTGAAGAAAAAAAATCGAGGGGGGTCTCTGAAAAAGACAGAGGTCACCCTACCCTTAGGACCAGATCTCTGCCTATTTTTCCAATGCATCCTTCTGCAGGGTTAACAGATAATCAAGTTGGAAGGGACCTTGTAGGTCATCTAGTCCAACCCACTGCCCAAGCGGGAGATCCAAGCGGGTTGAGTCTAAAGACAAGACTGCTTCCTCTTTTCCTAAAGGAGAAGGGACCGGCACTTAATTCTTACTCCAGAATTTACTTGGGATAAGTCTGATGCAGCTACAACCATCTATCTGTGTGTCAAAA